ATTCTTTCTAAATGACTTTTCCCTCAAAATGTTCCCCTTTAAAATTTCAGGTTGTTCCATTTTTGTAAAACAGTAAAAAAAGAGAAAATTTTTTTCCACTATGGACAGCCCAGAGATCACTTCAAAAATAATACTCTAAAAAAGGTAAATGCTAGGCCTTTGAAGTTGTTTCCTTGATATCTTATCAAAATTGACAATCATTCATTAATGGATGGAGTTGTGTTGTTTTACAAAATTCTGAAAACTGTTTTTGCAAAGGATGCTGAGAGGTTCAACCCTCTTCTTGTATTTCAGCCTGGTGTGTTTGCTTACTTGTGCCCTCGGGCAACAGTGACCACTCTTGTTTGTCAAGGATTGTGGTTTACTTTTATTCCTCCATTCCAAAAAGGTTGCATAATCTGTATAAATGCCACCAGAGATAAGCCACTTTCTATTAACACTTTATGAGGCATCTTCCATCTTCATTTCTAGGACAAGTAAACAAAACAGTTTCACATTGGTCGTTGTGGAAATTTTAAAAGCAAGCCAGTATCCTTTTCCAACTCCTGTTCTTTCTGTCGCTGGTATCTCCTCTGATGCTCCAAGACTATCATTCTTACGGGCTTTTCCGGCCACCAAAGGACAGCAGGACATCCAGAATGCCATTCTCTGCCCCCGCCTGAGAGCCGTGGCCACGAGCCTGAGCTCTGTTCCGCGCTGGTAGCATCCAGGTGGAATTTAAAATAGAATGGATGGGGACCCAGTTATGTGAAAAGTCACCTCTGGTCTTCTGTTCTATCATGGGAGTTAAGACCAGCTGGGGTGCTTCTGGTATCAGTTTCCAGTACATAAGTCTCTGTGATCTGCAGCAGAAATTCTTACAACAGGCCCTTAGAAGTCTCGTCCTCTGATGGACTGCCAGAGGCAGAGTCCAAGGCATATCTGTGCAGGCAGACTTTTTGCTGAGTTTCCCAGGGACTGAGAGAAAATGACCAGAAGGAACAGGCTCCTCTGGGTTCTACCACTAACACTCTACAAATGTCCTGAGTGGGAAACACGATTTATGGTCAGCCAGCTACTTATCTGGTTCACTTAGCCCAGATGATCAGAGATGACCACCGCACCGATTCAATCCCTCGAGAGAGCTCCTTCGAGTGAAAGAAATATGCTTGGACTCTGGTTCTCCTAAATGTCCTTTTCTAGAATATAGCTCCAAACACCTTAGCCCTGCTAGAAAAACAAGTTCAAATACATGTCGTCTTTGTGGAATCAAGGATGCTTTGGTAACCTGTGCCAATGTTGACTCACAGGGTGCTTTTTTAAGCAGAGCTAATCACGGTACCTGGGTTTATCACGAGATGTCATACCAGCTCTCATTTGTGAACAAGGAATGGCATGACCTCTGCCACAGTTTATGGATGTGGGCACCTGAAGCTGGCATCGCACAGTAGACATCAGGTCGTATCCTACTGGCCAGTTAATATTTTGCCCTCTTTCCAGATACGAAGTCAAAAATACTAAATAGAAAAGGGGGCTCCTGCTTGCTGCTGAAGAAGCTAACAATTTGACATGTGTAGTTGTGTCTGTGCTTGGATCTGACCCCTTATTTACTTTATTTCTCCAGTCTCAATAAAGAGCACAAGCCTCACCAGTGATAGTAGAGATGAACCACTGTATATATTTTTTAAAATATATTTTATTGATTTTTTTTACAGAGAGGAAGGGAGAGGGATAGAGAGTCAGAAACATCGATGAGAGAGAAACATCAATCAGCTGCCTCCATGTTAATTCATTCAAGAAGGTTTAAATCAATGCCTGGCACAGAGAGCATTTAATAAATACCATTGGTGTTTCTTTGGCTCTATGAACTTTTTTTTTTTTAAATATATTTTATTGATTTTTTACAGAGAGGAAGGGAGAGGGATAGAGAGTTAGAAACATCGATGAGAGAGAAACATCGATCAGCTGCCTCCTACACACCCCGTACTGGGGATGTGCCCGCAACCCAGGTACATGCCCTTGACCGGAATCGAACCTGGGACCCTTCAGTCCGCAGGCCGATGCTCTATCCACTGAGCCAAACCGGTTTGGGCGAACCACTGTATATTAAAAGATTTTGAAAGAGCTCCTCACTTTCATGGTCCAGGATAAATACAATATCTGTAACGTCACATTTGCTTTTGTCCTCTAAATAAAATGTCATATGACCTGACCATATTATAATATACTTTGAAGTCCAACCATTTAAAAAGGTTTCTGCAATTAAAATAATTTATTTTCATTGAAACCCAAAAGCAAAAGTGGAACCGAAGATAAAAGATGGGGGCAGGAAAATGTTAGCCTGTGCCACCTGAGAACTGGGTCCCTCTCACAGGTAGACAAACGCTTGTCAATGCCTAGACTTTACTCTTCCTAGGAGTGCAAAGCCACTAGCTAATGCAGCCCTCCCCACCCCCACCGAGAGAGAGAGAGAGAGAGAGAGAGAGAGAGAGAGAGAGAGAGAAAGAAACAGCTCTCTGTGAGCTGATGCTTACTGTGGGATGCAACGTTTCTAAGCTTCAGGTGCCTATATCTACGGGAACTCCGTTAGAGATTCAGAACTGGAAGGAAGTTTTTGATCATATTACAGATGAGGCAACTAAGGGTCAAAATTGAAATTAATTGCCCCCCAAGACATCCCAGGGCTCTTCCCCCTGGTCCTCTCAGCTCTCAGCCCACAGAAAGTAGTTGGGGGGGTGGGGGAGCGGAGGGAATGGAAGGGCATACATGAAACCGCCATCTGCCTGAGGGAGACCTCCTCAGGAGACCCACCCTGGCTGTGGACTCCACTACCATTTAGCTCAGTGTTATCCCTCACTTTTTAACTCACAATAGAGGCTCAATATATATTAAATGAAAATATATGCATTTGGTTTATTATCAGGAAACAGAAGACTGATGGAGCTATCTTGAACTGTGATGTAAAGAACCATGGGATGCAAAAGAGCAATTT